AGGGCTATAAATTGAGTGACATCTAAATGTTGTTTTCAGCTGAAATTGCAATAATGCTTGACCATTTCACCTTTGTGTGCAATATAGCTGTATTAAATTTTTTATATATAATTTTGGATATACCATGTCCGTTTTTATTACAAATCATCTCATTTCCACATTGGTATCTATACTCTTACATAAAAAGAAATAAAAATAAGATATTCCTGATAATAAGGTTCTGTTAGTTTTAATATTTTTGCTACAATTATTGGCAACACAAAACTTTAAAAAATCCAGTGTCAGTCTGTACCATCTTTCTGCTTCCTCCAGTTCTGCTTTTTGTTTCCTCTGTCCCTTTCACCAGGAGTTGACCAGCTGTCTAGTGGCATTCTGGCTGATCATGAAATGTCAAGCTTTTATTAAAAAATGTTAAACTAAGAGCTATTTAGCACTCACAGATTAGCATTTTAAAAACTAAATAAGCAAACACTAAAAATTTAAAGGAGCCTGTATATAAGTATGCAAAATTATACCTATCTGTATAAGATGTGTGTAAAGTGTCAAGGGTATACCATGTGTAAAATTTCCTGGGATAAATGTTGTCACTGCTTTTAATGAGGTTTTTTCTGGTGCACAGGCTGCTTTAAACTTTTAGCATCTCTTTAAGGAGCTAAACTGAGAACCATTTCCCTGGTTATATTATATTGCTGTCTGAAGCATGACTTTGAAGTGCTTTTGGTAAATGTAATATTGATAAGATACATATTTATGATGATCAGGATAATAATGCTTTAAAATCTCTCTAAATAATTTTGCACCTTTTAAGTATTATTTACTTAAGTATTATATGAAAAGTTGGAGGTAGACTATGTGCATCATAAATCCAAGTAGCACCTTTTAGTCATAATTATTTCCTTAGCATACTATGCAGAAAAAATTCTATTTGTGAAGTTTACAGTCCAGCAGCTTGGCTCATGACCTTTGACTGTAAGGATGACTGATACATTTTTTATAACCTGAGTATTTGAATACTTTTGAAAACTAGAAACTCATTAACTGATAAAGGCAAGGGCTGTTGGGTAGGGGGGAGTTTATTGGAACAACTGTCTAGCTGGGAGAAAAGTTTGACAAGCTTTTGTGCAGAAAGTACCCTTCTTCAGGTCATACAACAAATCCTACTAATCAGGTAAAGATCAGAAAGGGCTTGCTAACATAGCAAAGGTAATTTGTCTTTGATAATTAATCTGTTTGGATTAAAAACTGCTTTGCTTCAGGATGGCATCACTTATGTGCATTATATAATATGGTCTAAAACCTGCTCCTGGTGTGCAGAAGAAGATGTTTGTGGGTGCCTTGAGGTATGCCTAGAATACAAATCAGTGTTCACCATATCCCCAAAAGAGCATGGTTTGAAGTACAGAGGGGTGTCTAGCTTCCCAGCTGGCTTGTATTATGGTAATTACAGTAACTGGTATATTAGAAAAATATTTCTACATTTGAAAACACACAATAGTAAGTGTCCATGGCTTGTCCTATTCAAGGATGCTTTTTGTGCTGGATTTAGAAAGAGTAGTGTAAGATTCTTATCCATTGTATCAGCAGCTAAAGCAGGATGGTTATTACAGAAGTTGATTTTATATCTTTGATCTTAGGTCTTAATTACTGAGGATATTACATCTTAAGCAACTTTTCAATGTACACGTAGTTTTGTTAATACTACTTAATATAATTGTTGGTGTAATCATTCTGTTTGAGTTCATCTGAGACAAGCAGGAGGAGCATGCTAAGGGAATGCATTTTCTGTTACTTCAGCACAGGAAGAGTAACCAAGTCCTCAGTGGGACATGACACTTTTAACTTTTCTTTCCCCCTTTTTTCCAAATATCAACTGGTATTGATTACCCAGGATTTTGGTACAAAGCCTGTAAATCTGCCCAGCTTAACTCATGTGATTATTATTGCAACATTTTACAAGTAGCTTACCAGATTTTCACTGGAAAGAAACTTGTAAGACCCAATTTACCATCTGTAAGTTTCAGATGCTGAATCCTATTAGGAAAGACTGATTGCTAATGTTCTTCATAACTGGCTGTCATACTATAGAGTATATTGGACTGACCATTTTGTTCTCACCTTGTATTGGATATCTCTAATCTTTTGTCTTGAATTATCTATCAATGTAATGTCAGTAATAGAAGCCTATTACTTTTCTTTTAATTATTTATTGCTCGACTAACACATTGTAAAATGACTACATTACTAAAGCTCTTTTCTTCCCTTGTACAAGAACAGTAGGCTTTTCAAATTCTAGTTTATTGTTTTTTTGAGTAGTTCATATTTTTATTTGCTCTGCTAGTACCAGGTTGGAATGATGCAAGCAAAATCTTACTATAATTCTATAATATATAAAGAAGAAGTAATTTCCTATTCTTAAAGTGATTTATTGTATTATTAGCAGGTCATTTTAATGCTCAGGCATAAATATGCTTAGTTGTAAGGTACCTTGGTATTTATGGCTTTTCCTGAAAAAGATGATTGATATTATTTGGCCAAATGTTGTGGTCCACCTAAGGCCCATAGAATTTGACTCTTTCCTTATCAGTTATACCATTTTAGAGGCAGTATTCCATGATAGCTAAACTGCTCTGCCAAAAATGTGTCTTCTGTCATGTTGCCTGTACAATGTTAGGTAATGAATTGCATTTCTGTAATTACTGAGTTCTATTACTATAATAATTTGCATTCCACAATATTTATCTGTAGCAAAGTATAATATTTATATTCCTAACAGGATACATTGGGCCATTTCTGACCTCATGTCTGTGGGTGGAGTTTTCTCTGACTCAATATGAAAGTCATGAAACCAGAATATAATCTTACACATGTAGGCTAGGAATTTCTAAGGAGCATGAAGTGCTAAGAAGCTGGCAACCCAAATATCATTGAAATTGTATGCGTACCAGAGCCTGGATAATTTTTCAGATTGGTATGGCATCCTTCCAATTTGTGTCCCTGAGACTGGTGTGATGCCAGAAAGTAAAAAAAATTATGACAATGTCAAGATATAACCATTACCATATTTACTCAAATATAAGATGACTCCCAATAATTTGATTCTATATATGGAAAATCTATAAATTTGTTATAATTTTCCAGGTATAGAATAATAGAAAATTAGGGTAGGAAGGGACCTCCAGAGGTCATCTAGTCCAACCCCTGCTCAAAGCAGGACCATCCCCAACTATATCATTCCAGCCAAGGCTTTGTCTAGCTCAGTCTTAAAAGCCTCCAAGGATGGAGATTCCACAACCTCTCTGGGTATGTGTTCCAGTGCTTAACTATCATTCCTATGAGTACCGAGGGAAGGGTGTCAGGGATGGCCCTCGTATTGCAGTACCTATAGGCCTGGTGACAGTTCCCTGTGCAGGGAACACCTGCCTGTCTTTTTTAAGGACCAAAAGGAAAAAAGGTTCCCATCAGCATGTTTGCCCAGCATGTGTTTTATAGTCATGCTGAGTCTTGGCTGCATTTAATCAGCTTCATAGCTGGTTTCCCTTACTACGCACGTGCTGCTTTTGGCAGCAATTTAAGGATAAACAGTGAGTTTAATGAGATTTCCTTGTATTCAAATGTAGGATGAGGAGCTTTTTCCTCCATGCTGATTAGGGAGAAAAATCTTGTCTTATATCTGAGTAAATATGATATATAATTTCCTTAAGGCAGAGACTGAAGACCATAGTGCATTTTGCATTCAGGTTTTAAATCTATTAAAATCTAATGATCATTTTCCATGTACACTAATTTAGACTAACAGACAATTAAATCAATTTTTTTATACCTAAATCTCCTACTTTATCAGAACTAAATAACTTAAAGCTTCATAAGGTCATTAATGAAGATAAAAGGAATAATGCCTCTAACTTAACCTTCAACATAGTGAGCGAGGTTTCTTTGATCTTGCTATGGAGCATCCATGTCTCTAACCCTACATTAATATGTATTTTCAATCTGCTTACATCATTCCCCTTATATAATTAGCCATTTATCAATGCAGCCATTTTACTGATGTTATACTCTCCATGGTAATAACATTGTAATAAGTCATAGAATGCTGTGATCAAACTACTTTTATTTATTATAGTACTCGTACTTGTCCATTGTTCATCATAAATACCTCAGTGTAAAGGAACCAAATGGAAAATTTGGATGATATCACTCTTTTTTTCATTGATACAATAAAACATATCTTATTTCATCCCAGCTCCCCTAAAATTAGGAATATGTCTGCTTAGCTTTGTATATTCTGGACATATATGTGTACTGTATCAAGTAACAAGTAGTTCCAAAATGTACAATAAATGACATGAGTGCATTGGCAAATGAGAATGCAAAATAATAGCTATTGCTCTAAAATTAATATGCTGCTCTTCCTTTCTGAAACTAAAGAAATTTAAAAATATATATATAACTTGTAACTTGTATTTTCATGTCAATGAGAATAAAAAGTTTAAATATAAACTTTTTTACATTAGCAGATTTGATAGAATGCTATTAACATTAGACATGAAAATACTTCTTTGCAGCTTTCTGTTGGTTTGGTCATAATGTTGGAAAATGATGTTTTGTCTCCATGTGCTGTCCACAGTATTGGAGTACTGGAATAACTTATTGGAATAACTCGATAATGCAATGTATGAAGGCACCTACTTTTAAACTTATCAAAATTTCATTTCATAATTCTCATACGTGGCTTGGTGTAATAGCAAAATTATTTTTGTGGTTTCCTGTATGAAGCTATTAGAATATTTTCACTGGGGGAAAAGTCTACATGATGTAGTTTCTAATCTTGTGACCTCGCCTGTAGTAAAGTAATTTGGCATTACTTGTTTACATAAGGAATTATTTTAATTTAAGAGCATGGAAATATATGTACTTTAATCTACATTACAATGATTAATATATATTCAAAATAAATGTACTGGTAAAAACAATCCATTTATGTGGGGTTAAATTTACAGAAGCTAAATGCATCCAGCTCATCTGAAGGGAGCACAGTTGATATTGGACTTCCTCCAGAAGGAGAACAACCAGAAGTAGAACCTGAAGATTCTCTTGAACCAGAGGCCTGTTTTACAGAAGGTTAGTGAAGCAAAATATTGTTGTTTACTGTTACATGTTTTACTTACATAGACAGTCCCACAAGGTGCTGCCAACAGGGCTATGAATCTCAAGAAAGGAGTTAATGATTGTGTTCTCACCTTCTTTTGGTATTAGTATCCCTTTAGAGGAGTTACAGCAGATGTACTCTTCTGGAGAGTCCTCTGTACCTAGCAGATTTCATGGAGTATGTTCTATGAATATTAATTTTCCTGCTAAAAATGAGGCTGAAGAGCTGAAGAATTGAAGGAGATACATATTTATAGGCATCATTAGCATAACTAGGGTTAATCAAGGGCCCTCTACATGTGCAGGTAAAGGTGTGATGGCATATAATGTGTGATCCACACAATCACACCTCCTGCTATGCCAACCACGTATGACAGGAGACATGATTCTGGGATTGTGCAGTAGATCCCGTTGTGCCTTATTGCCAGTGCACGGGGAACCCAAGTGCATGAAATGCCCAGGGCTGGGGATTGCAGCAGCCATGACCTTCTGCCCTTGGAGGTTTCATGCACCCCTGGGCAAGCATCTCCCTCAGATGTGTCCTGGCATTTGCTGGGGCTGAGAGTCCCCCCAACTGTGGATCTCCCAGCCCCAGCTGGGCATGGTGCACCCCTGCAGTTGAGAACCTTGTCAGCTGACAGGGACCCCAGCTTCAGGGGAAGACCCTGCTACATGTGACCCTAGCTGCAGGGGAAGATCCTGCTACATGTGCAAATTAAAACTTCATAGCAGCCAGCTATAAAGTTAATACAGAGTTTTGAGGTCTAACTTTATAGCTGGTTGGAGCTTTTTATGGCATGATCGCTACTTTGCACATGTAGCTGGTCTCAAGGTAATGTGTAGAGGGGGCCTCAAATGACTGATGACTAAGTAATGATTCAGAGTACGTATTTACCTTATTTTGATTCATAAAAATTTATCATCTCATTTATCAGGCTGCGTAAGGAGGTTCAAGTGCTGTCAAGTCAGCGTCGAAGATGGGAAAGGAAAACTCTGGTGGAACCTTAGGAAAACCTGCTACAGAATAGTTGAACACAACTGGTTTGAGACTTTCATTGTCTTCATGATTCTTCTCAGCAGTGGTGCTCTGGTAATTGTGATGTGAAAGAATTGGTTTATTAAAGCAGCAAGTATTTATAACTGTACTTAATCATATAAATATCCTTAATATATAAGAATTGTACTAGTGCCAAATTCAGAAATGCCCTAGTTTCATTATAAAAGGTGTCTCAAACATTTGACATTAACTATTGAACTTCTTGAAGGCTATAAGTATAATATGCATAATCATTTAAAGATCATTTAAGTATTTAGTTACAGAGATCTCTGTCTAGCATGAAAATGCCTTCACATTTTCTTTACATATTAATGACTTATTTATTTATTCTCCTTATTCAGAAATAGAACGTGATTTGTTAGTTTCCTTATGATTCTAGAGTATTACTACTTAGTTATGTATTACCATTTGAGTGAAATACCATAGAATCATAGAATAGCAGGGTCAGAAGGGGCCACAGGAGGTTACCTATTCCTACTTCCTGTTCCAAGAAGGATAATAATCCCTGACTTAATTATCCCAATCTGTCTAACCTGCTCTTAAAATCTTCCAAGGATGGCAATTCCACAACCTGGGTAGCCTGTTCTAATGCTTAATAGGACTGTGCGAAATTTTGACAGCTGTTTCATTTTGACGCTGTTTTGACTTGTTTTGAGCTCAAAACAGCGAAATCAAAGTGAAACAGAGGGCTTGGAAACAGCCTCAAAATGAAATGAGGCGTGTCGAAACATTTCAAAAGTTTTGAAACATTTGGAGTTTTAAAGCAGCAGCCAGGTGGCGGGAGGCAGAGGAGAGCCAGGTTTGCACTCTGACTGGCTCTGCGCAGCCCTATGTGGCTCAGGCCAGTGGGGAGCACAGCCCTGGCTATCCCTGCCTCCCACCACTGGGCTGCGCTCCCTGGGGCTGGCGGAGCTGATTAGAGCACAGTGCCGGCTCTGCCAGCCTACCTCCACTGGGCTGAGCTCTGGTCAGCTCCACCAGTCCCATGGAGCTCAGCCCGGTGGCAGGAGGCAGGCAGAGCCAGGGCTGTGCTCCACCTCCCACCACCGGGCTGAGTTCCACAAGGCTGTGAGCTGCTGGGGAGGGAGGCAGAGTATATCCCCAGGGCTGCACCGCGCCTCCCTCCGCTGGGCTGCAAACACCTGGGAACAAAGCCCAGTGGAGGTAGACTGAGGGTTCCCAGTGTCTTGCAGCCAAGTGGAGGGAGGCGGGGCACAGCCTATGGGCTGCGCTCCACCCAGGGGCTGCGCTCTGCCCATCTCCACCAGGCTGGGTTCCCAGGCGCTTGCAGCCCAGTGGAGGGAGGAGGGGCTCATCCCCAAGGCTGTGCTCCACCTCCCTCCACTGGGCTCAGCTCCCAGAGGCTCTAAGCCCTGTGGAACCCAGCCTGGTGGAGGCAGGCAGAGGGTTCCCAGTGTCTTGCAGCCCGATGGAGGGAGTTGGGGTGCATGCTGGGGTTTGCGCTTCACCCACCGCCCGGGCTTGGTTCCCAGCTGCTTGCAGCCTTGTGGAACTGAGCCGGGGGTGGGGAGCAGAGCACAGCGCCAGGGCTGAGCTCTGCCTCCCTTCACCGGCTCAGCTCCCAGCACTAGTCGCAGGTGGCAGTGGCAGACTCCCACCTGCACCCCTGGGATGGCTGCAGGGCTCTGCTGGACTCCTCCCCAGGGTGCAGGCCCCAATCTGCCTGCGATCAAGGGAGGCTGTTCATCCTCCAGTTAAATGCTTCCCCATTTTAACCTGGGCAAAATGTCAAAACAGCATCAAAACATCAAAACTGTTTCAACAAAATGAAACAGAACAGTGCTTTCAAAATGACACTAAACTCAAAACAAAACACTGTTCTGTCGAAACGTCAAAACAGAAGTTGAAGCAAAACGGTACTGTTTTGCACATCCCTAATGCTTAACCATGCTCATAGTGACTCGCATGGAGGTATAAATTATAAAGCCAAATATTTCAGATTTTTATTTCCAGGTTCATGTTAAACCAGGTTCATTGCATAAGTAGAACAGTACTTAGTACTTCGTATTATTGTACTAGTTACAGTCATGTGTTGTTAGCAGGGCTGTGGCACAGTCTCCTTGACCAAGGTGGAAAGGGTCTTTTGAATAAGTTATTAACTTGTGCTCTTTGCCAGATATTTTATATACATTGTTTTTTTCTAGTTATGCTCTTATAAAATTGTTCTCTATCTCTGGAACAGTTATTAGGAATTCACAGCTAGCACCTACAATTGTTGTATGTAATTTTACCTGGACAATTCAGATGCTAATATCAACAAGACATTACCATGTATTAGAGAGGGGAAAAAGGAATAGAAAGAGGCTATATTGGAGCCACCTCATAAATTATTGTTCATTTGGCCAAGATGAGGGGATGTCAGTGGGATGAAAGCAGGGAATGTGGTACATAAAATAAATGATGTCCTGAAGAGAAAGTAAGGGGAAAACACCCATGGTTTGTTATGTATATACAAATAACCACCCCCCCACCTAAAACTTTAATTTTTTTTTAGTTCCTGTAATCTGTGCTGCAAACTGTGAAGTAGGATGCCACTTGACAATATTTCATTTACAGGCTTTCGAGGACATATATATTGAACAGCGCAAGACTATCAAGACCATGCTAGAATATGCTGACAAGGTCTTCACTTACATCTTCATTCTGGAAATGCTTCTGAAATGGGTGGCCTATGGTTTTCAAACATATTTCACTAATGCCTGGTGTTGGCTGGATTTCTTGATTGTCGATGTATGTATTTACTTTTATATGCTGTTTTACAAGTCAGTCACTTGGAATAAATCAACAGAATCTCATGTGTTGGTCAAATTATGTAATTGATTTTAAAATTAAACTCCTGATTCATTCTGATGAGGAACTCTGTTTTAACACATTTAGTACAATGTGGGTAGTAAATTTAATTTTAAGGGCAAAAATTAATGAAAACTACACAGAAGTTTTGCACACTGATAATATTCTGTAGTTATTTTACAATACTTTAATGATACATTTCTTTCTTAGTTAGTCTTCACTTATTATTTTTATGCAGTGTATAAGGGACTCCATTCCTCATCTTGATTTGTATTGTATATAGACTTTGAATACTTTAACATGATTTTTTTTTACTTTATCTTAATTTCTAGTCACAATTGCTGTGATATTATATTTCTAACTCAGTTTAACCTAAAAGTAAAATGTGGGGTGGTATTCTCAATCCCACTACAGCACTCAGCACAGCAATTTGGTGTAGTAGGATATAGATTTATAAAAGGCTTTCAGAGTGCTGAGGCAGATTTCCTTGGCATAGATATTGCACAGATCACCCAACAGTTGGCCTTTGTGTGTCTTTCACAAGGTCCTATGTGCCAGGAGCAGGTCTGGAAAGGTCAGGAATCACTTGTCTTATGAATCCTCATACTACAGGCAGCTATGGAAATTTTCAGTTGCTGCTGGCAGTGGTCTACTTCAGGGATGTAAAACACACCCTGCTTGCCCAGGTTGCATCCAGACTATGGTGCTCCTTACAGGCCAGATCTGGACATGGTGAGGCAGGCATTGGCAGACGCATGAGAAGTGGCTGTGGCGGGGCTTAATGTACTGGATGCCAACACACAACTCCAGTGAGGCTCCCTGCCCTGGATTTTAGTGGCAGGCTCTGCACCCCTTGCCCTGCCCCTGAATTCCTGTTTCCTCTACTAGCTCCATGGGCCACACAACCAAAGGCAACCTGGTGTAATCTGAAGCTGCCTGAGAATAGAGAAGGTGCAAAAGTGGCTCCATGAGCCCTTCCCTTAGTCTGTGCCTTAAATGCATAGTCTTCGTGAATTTGTTATTCTGTTCTGGAAGCCTGTGATAGTATGTCAAACATTACAAAAGACAGTTTTTCATAAAACTTAAGCCAAATTAGGACAAAAACCATTTTCATGAACTAACCAATAATTAATTGGGAACCAAATCCTGTAAACATCCAAATTTGGATGCTCGTATTCATACTTCTGAAAAAAGTATTTAGATAAAGTCCAAAATTATTTGAAGTCCTGTTAGCAGGCTTCTGCAGTCCTAATGGATGTAGCAGGGTTAGCAACAGATAAGAATTACTACACAACTCTACTACTGGTCACTAGAGTGAGTAATCAGGAGTTTCAGAGCGAATTCTGATCTTGAGCGCTGCATGCATCAACCTGAAAGCAGGCTTTGGCTTGCAGAGAGCACCTTTCCCTCTCAGACACCAAAAGCATCAGGTCCCCCCTGCTATTGCATACTGCTTTACTAGATTAGGCATCCCAAAAACTTCAGTACTCACTTTGCCTTTATTAGGTTCTCTCCAGAACAATTTGCCATCTATGTCACAGAATTTTACAGGCACCAAAATTATTGCCTTATTTCTCACTTAGCAAGTAAGATTATTCCTCCCAAAGTTATAAAAATGTGGATTCATGGATAAACACTTGTTCCTAATCTTCTGAGTTTACATAGTTGCTTGTTTGCAAAATTAATTTTTCTGTGAACAGTTGGTAAATTAGCCAGTGTAAATGTATAATTTTGTCAATTTATAGAAGTCAAAGATTTGGCCTTATGAATTCTCTCTATTCTCTGTATTGTAAAATAAGCCCTATTTTATCAACAAACCTTCCATTCTAATCGTTAGATATTTTGGGGAAACTCAAACTCATGGCTTTCACCACAGCCTTACTGATGTATCCTTTGGTAAGAATTTAATCCCTGAAATGATTTATCAGAGTGGAGGCACACAGTGTAGCTGTCCAAGCAGAAAGAAGGGGATACCTTTCCATTTGGAATGATAGAAATAAGAGCAAGCTTGTTCGTCATGCTGGGTGAGTGGGAGGAAGGAAGCATTGAACAATGATCAGTTACAGGGATGGTACAGTATCTCTCTTTTTTGTGGCTACTTTTGTCCAAAATATTTTTGAATAATTGGATTCCTGTGAGATACTGATGAGAATAATTCTATTGTTTATTGATAACTGTTCTAGTTTATTAACTTCTATACCTACAGGCCAAGTCAAATTTGTGCAAAGCAGAACTGATTAAGAAATCAATCTGGTTAAAAGAACCCAAAAGGAATTTAATGATGTAGTAGTTGGACTAGTTGTTACATTTGTGTAGTCAAGTTTTGAAGATATGGAAACTGACTGTTCAAATTCAGCTTAATTTTTGGAGGTGTCTGTGTGTGTGTGAGGCTTCATTTTTTCTGAAAATAACACTACATATTGACTGATATTTATGAACAAATATAGCAATTTATATACTCTTGTGCCAACATAATTTCATCAACAGGCAGCCTATAACACACTTTTGTTGTACTTTGACTAACTTAAAAGACCATTCCTGCATTACAGAGGGATTCCTGGAGAAAGAGATTGAACATTGATTCATCTTTAGAAGTTCGTGGCCTCTACTACTTTAACTGTATGTACAGAAGTATATACAAGATTAATGAGCATTACTGCTTTTCTGTTTTTGTGTAGGTCTCTTTGGTTAGCTTAACAGCTAATGCCTTGGGCTACTCAGAACTTGGTGCGATTAAATCCCTTAGGACACTAAGAGCTTTGAGACCTCTAAGAGCCTTGTCACGATTTGAAGGGATGAGGGTAAGACAGCATGGAAGAACCTAATATAATGCATGCAGAATAAATAATGACAATTTCATGTAGAAATTCTATGGTAACCATCTTATTAATTGAACATTTATCACTAATAGGTAAGCAAAGCACTTCGTCTGCTTACATAGAATCACATGTCGTAGCACGTGTTAATATATTTATTCAAGTCACTTTATCTCCCAGTCAATTTGGAATTTTCAAGTAGGCCCTTTATTTATCAACTGCATGGATATATTGTCAATTTCTAAAACTTTTGTACTAAATTAAAGTTGAACTGATCAAATATAATTCACTTATAGAACACATTTAAAACATATATAGGGCAAGGATATATGCCACATCATGCATATCTACAAACATTTTATTCTTTTAATAGAATATTGTTTATTTAAATAGAAATTTTAATTTTTTTATTTTTGCTATATGCGCTTATCACATTTTTATTAAATAAATTAATAGTGTTCAAGTGGTTTTGTCACCTTGAGATTAGATCATTGCAATGTGCTAGATGGTGTTTCTTTTTTTGAGCATATTACTCTTTTGTGAGAAGGTCTTACCCTGTGCCCTACACTGGCTTGCATGCTGATTTGCATATAGATTGATTTGAAGATGTTGATTTTAACCCATAAAACCTGAAGTGGCCTGCAACCTATTGACAGTCCTTCTCTCTTACTGTGAGACATTGCCATAGGTCCAGTCAGCAAAGGCACCTTGATAGTGAAACCCAATCAGTATTAGTGAAATGGAACAGCTGATGAGGTGTACTCTGCTAGAACTGTGGCCCTTTAAAACTTTCTTCACAATACTAAAAGAACACATGCAGGCCAGAAAATAGGAAAGGAAGGGTTTTTTCAGAAAATATTGATTTTTGGCAAGACAAAAAAAAACAAAAAAACCACAACACAACCCCCCCCCCCCCCCCCCCAACTCTCTGGAGAAATTCAACCAAAACCCAAATACTTTTGGCTTAAAAGAAAAAAATGTAGTTGAAAACCATATTTTAATGACTCCTGGCAATTCTAGTTTGAGTGTTTTATGCCCTCTTCTCTTACATGGCGTTTGGTCCCAGTTAGCTGCATCTCCAGTGATACACCGTAATCTCCCCTCTAGTTAATCAATGTTAATGGGTTATATAGTCCCACACAGCATGTTCAGATGAGTGCATGCATGCACTTTGCAGTGCCCCAAAGGCTTTTGAGACAACATAAAACACATGCAGCGCATGTGAAAAGGTTCTCCACACTGCATATTTGCAGTGCAGAGCCAAAATTACATACTGGGAAATCCTGGTATCTTTAAAAAAAAAGTTTTCTAAAAAGCAGGCAGCGCACACAACTGCATTGTGTGCTGCTTGAAACCAGAGCCTAGCTGGCCAGAGCCATGCTCCAGCTGCCGGCCAGGATGTGCGCGCCAGGATCACCACTGCTGCAGCCCTGGGAGGCCCCCAGGACCCCAGATAAGGTTTCTACCTTACCCAGGGCAGAATGTGCCTGTGAGATGAACCGTGCCTGTGGGGCTGTTCTGCAGATCTCAACATGGGTTTAAAAAAATTAGCATCAGGGGAACAGTGGCAGTATTAGTTGACATGGCTTTTAGAGTGGTAGCCATTAATGCTGGCACTGCTCTGCTGCTACCAAAGTTTTGGACCCATGGGGATCCCTGTGGGCAGAATGATGTGGTCCTGCACACTGGTGCCTGGGGTTCCTCTGTGGCCAGATCCAGTGTGCAGGGTCAGGCTGGCTGATGCATGGGGTTGGGCAGCATGCAGGGTCAGGATGATTTGCGGGGGGTCACTCTGTGGTTGGATCCAGCACGTGAGGTTGGGCTGGCATGTGGGGTCACACCTGTAGACTGACCACATGCCCTGATGCTGTACTGGAGCAGGCCCAAGGACTGACCCTGCCCATGGAATGTGGCATGCAGGTGGCCACCAAACCACTCAACTGGCCTATCAGACCACTGATATAATCTGAATAACAAAGACCATAAAAACCACTCTGTTGTTTCTGCATCACATCCATAATTTGAAGTTGAGCTCTACTATAACTTTTTAGAAAAGCATTCAAATCCTGATTTAATTATTTTGAGTGAGGTTAGTGCTCTGCAGTTTATTGCTCTGCAGTTTATTCATAAGCAGCATGTGTGACTGGGTCGGAGCAGCCCCAGCTAGCAGGGGTCAGCCTGCCAGCCAGGGGCTGCTCCCTGCAGCTCAGCATGCAGTGGAGGGGCTGGCTAGGACATGAGAGAGCCTCAATGTGAGGCTATGCAGCAGGCAGCCCCCTCACTGAAGGACCCTCGTGCTTCAGCCAGCCCTTCCAGTGTCTACACAGGTGGGGCTGCAAAGTTTTTTACTCCACAGCTGTATAGTACCTGTATTCACAAGTATCATAGAGGACAGTAGATGCTGAGATGTCTACTGCACAGCTAATTAATCAGCTGTGTAGCAGGGCTGTGCGAAGCTTCGGTAGCTGATTTGATTCAGAGATTCGGCCTGATTTGGGGAATGAATCTCTGAATCTGAATTGAACTGGTAGACAAAGTAAAAGCTCCGAATTGATATGAAGCATTTGAATCAATTCGGAAAAGATTTGGCCACTTCGGCGATTCAGCCATAGATTATACAGGCAGCTGATACAGCTGCCTCCAGGTGGTAAGTCTGTTGGGGTTGGGGGAGGGAGGGAGGGAGGGAAAGGGCAAAAGAGGGATTGGGGCTGGGACAAGCTGCCCAGCCGGGGCAGGGAGGTGCATTACTCGGGGTTGGGGGCGGAGGGGTGCGGGATGTGGTTGCGGTAGTTTTGGGAGTGGAGGCTCTGTCCTGTAGCCGCTTGCCCAGCCAGGGTGGGGGGTGGGATATGGGTGCGGTTTGCTCCAAGTGGAAGGGAGCGAGTGGCCACAGGGCATAGCCCCTGCTCCCAGTGCTGCCATGGCCGTATCCTGCACCTCTCCTGTGCCGGCTGGCAAGCAGCGGCAGGGCATAGCCCCCGCTCCTAATGCTGATACGGGCACGGCAGTGCTGGGAGAAGCAGCTATGCCCTGCTGCCACCCAGAGTGGGCTGTGCCTGCATTGCACCTCCCCCTGTGCCAGCTGGGCAACCGGCTCCCTCTGCCAGGGCAAAGGCAGGCACAGCTGGAGGAGCTGTGGGAGAAGCCCTCATGGTTGCCCCGCCCAGCCCTGCCTCATGACATTAAAAAAAAGCAAAAAAAAAAAGCCCCACACTCACTGGATCTGGCAGCAGAGATCAGGGCCTCTGAGGGCTCATGGTAGAGCCCCTCCCTGCACTGTGTGGGGCAGTGGGGGGCAGTGGGGATTGCCCCCCCCCTGCTTGGCACCCAAGTGGCAGCTGCCCCATGGCACAGGTGCAGCATGGCTCAGCAGGGCTCCACACGCAGTCTGGGAACTGGGGCAGCTCCACCTGTCATCCGGAGCCTGGCATCGCTCAACCTCAGTGGCCTCAGCTCCTAGACAGTACGCAGTGCCCTGCCGAGCCATGCTGCACCTGCGCCATGCGACAGCTGGAGCTGCCCGGCTGTTCCTGCCTCTCCCCGGCCAATTAGAATCATTGAATCTCTCCAAATCAGCACCAAATCTTCTAATGCCGATTCAGCTGAATTGATTCAGGACAGTGATCCGAATATCCAAATTGAATCAGCTGAATCCAAATCCGAATCGAATACTTCCCTATTCACACAGGCCTACTGCGCAGTAAATATCTCAAGTAGATACACCTATTTTATTTTCATTTACAGTACTGCTTTTTAGTAAATATATAATAAAGTACCCATTTCAGTAGATTAGTTTGATTTTTAAACTGTCTGTTTAAAAATCACAAATCTTCTGATAAAGATAGCAAATTCTCTGATTAAAAAACTCTAAATCCATGATTAAAATGAAACACATTTATATATATGGATCAATTGAACACAATGTTTTATTGATATATTTACAATTTTAAAGCAATCTGGAAACCTACCAGTGCCTTAATCACTATAATAAAATAAATTCTAAATACCTATACATTTTAGTATTTGATTTTGGTTTATCATGGAAAATCAGAGCTCCCCCTCCCCCCTTCACTCATCAGGATGTGGGTCCAGCTGCGTCTGTCCCCACTGCTTTGTGGCGCTGAGCAGCCCTGATATGCTAGTGCCCTGCCCATGCCATTGCCACTCACACAAGCCACAGCCCCAGCCCTGTTGGTGCCCCTCACTCCCCACCCACAGCGCCCTGGCCCTGCTGGTACACATGGCTGCGCTCGTCCAGATGCAGCCATACTGTTCTTTTCCATGATCTTTTTCTGCTGTCTGTTCTCTTTCTTGGCCTGTGTGTTGCTGCCACAGTCCCTCACCCCTCCCACTTATTTTCTTGCAGCAATGGAAGCTAGCTTATAACTAGCTCTAGCTTGAAGCTTCACACTACATTATTAGCTCCATCAAAAGATTTATGATATAAGCTGGTGCTGTAGCTTCAGGACTCAGACTGAAAAGGGAAAAAAGTAGGTCAGCTGTGGAAAATGTGGCAATTACAGAAAGAATAATACATGACTAAGCATGCAGCAGTAAGAGAAAAAAACAGACACCTCGAGTGTGTTGAGACTCAATTCCTGAGGACAGATGTTTTCAATCCATGAAAAACCTTTAAATATTTGTATTAAAATTATTCTCCTTCATAAGTAGCCTTATTACACTTATGAAATTCAGTAACATAATTTGGGTTGGGATATTTTGTTCGGTTGCCCTGAGCGCTGATTGTGGGAAGCAGAAAAAAAGCAGCTGTCCCTGCAGCTGCACAATCACACCAATGGCACAGCAGCTACCAGAAGTGCTGCTTCCATCTATGTGTTGTGTCTATGCTGGGCTTGTGGCTGCACTGTTATACCACTATATGAAAGGATAATTCATAACTGTGTTTAAGTAAAATATATTTTAAGATAGAAATAGCAGTAGTCATGAGAACCTAGAAGTCTAGTTAAGAATAAGTTTAATTTTAC